GTCAGCTGACACTGTGCTGGTCCCCCAGGGGCAAAGGGTTGCAGAGTTTCTATTAGTGTAATATAATTGATACAAAGATTGCTTAACTACTGTGAAAAAGGCTTTGAGGGCCCCTAAGCAGCCCCGCTGGGCTCTCCAAACCCCATATGGGCAATGAGGCATGACGTGGGCTTGGGATCCTGGCACTTCAGCCTCTCTCAAGAGCCTACAGGCACATGTCCCATTCTCACTCTCACTCTCTCTCACACACACACACACACACACACACACACACACACACATACACATGGTGCTGCCCCCTCCAGCGGCGCTCACGCATAGCAAAAGCTATGTACACTGATAGAGTAGCACCAAGTGGCTGCCAGCTCATGCCTGCCCCGCCAAGACCCTTCCTCTCCGCAAAGATGGGGGCCCCAGGGGCACCTTATAAGTCCTTCCAGGTGGCCCCAAAGCAGAAAGCAACTGTCCTTGTAGCAGGCCCCCCCCCAGGAGGCGGGGCGTGGCCTCACCGGGGCAGGTGGGGCGCACTCGGCAGGAAGGTGGGGCCCCGCAGGGCCTCCTCAATGTCCTCCAGGCAGCCCAGCAAGTCCATTTCACGGAGCACAACGCCCAGCAGGTCCAGCGTGGCCTCGCGGCGGGGCGTGCGCCGTCGCCAGGCCGCCAGCATGCTGTATTGCGCCTCACGCAGGCAGCGCCCGTTCTGCATCTCCAGCCGCTCGATCTCATGCTCGTTCAGCCCCAGGCGCCGCACAAACTCCTTCCAGCGTGACGGGGGCACTCCGTCCACCACAGCATACAGGGTGGCTGGGTCTGGGAAGCAGGGGGCGGGGCAGTGAGCCAGGGAGCCTGAGCGCGGGTCGCCGGACCCCCCACAGGGGACCTTCGGGAGCTCTGTGCACCTGCTCTCCAACCAGATTCCCGGGGAGAAACTCACCGTCTGGGCGCTGGAGGTGGACACTGTCCTCCCCCTTCAGAAGAGGATCAGGACTGGGGTCGAGGGTAGAGACTGGAGGTGAGAGAGAGCAAGGGGCAGCCCCTTGGTGCGGAGGGGCCATCTCCGTGCGGGGTGGTCCAGTCCTGAAGTTGGACCAGTCGCCAGGGCTGAAGATGGGGCTGGGGGTGAAGGTGGGGATGGGACTGAAGCCAGGAGTGGGAATGAAGCCTGGCGCTGGGGTCAGAGGCTCAGGCTCCCCCTGAAAGAGAGAAAGCACAGCTCAGAAAACCTTTTTATTCTAGATGGGACTTGGGGCCAGAGGGGATTAGGGGACCCCCAGAGCAAAAGTGTGATCCCAGGTGATCACCCTTTTGGAAATTCCAGGATTATAATGGAAGGCAGGGGAGACGGGGGTAGCGGACCGATTTCCTCTTACCTCTTTTACAAGTGTCGATTTCCCACAAACTGAGAAAAAAGAAACAAAGAGTCATAAGCTCACTTCCCCTCTGAGGGCCTGGGCTCAGATGGGACCTGTAGTGACATGCTTCGGGGCCCATGTCACCCCCGGGACTAGAGAACTACCCAGGCAGTAGCACCTGTCACCATGGCCATGCCTGCCAGAGTCCTTGGCAGCAGGTAAGGGGACGCCCCTTTTTCTCTCCATGCTTGTTTGTCCCTCTTACCCACTCAACCTCCTCCTTCATCCCCACCAGCATGGCTTCCCCTGCAGAGGCCCCACTCACCAATGGAGTAGAGCTTGGGCTTCCACCGTTGGTAGCGGCATCCTATGCCAATGAAGAGGAGGGACAGAAGGCAAACACCCAGAAAGATCACCAGGGGCAACAGTACCGCAGTGCCTTGGGGACAAAGTAGTGGTCAGAGGAAGGGGCAGACAGAGGTAGCGGGAGGGGGGATGGGAGGGGGAGGGGAAGGGGAGGGGCGGGGGGGGGGGGGGGGGGGGGGGGGGGGAGGGGGGGGGGCGGGAAAGGTGGGTAGCAGGATGGGTTGGGAGTGGGGGGTGAGGGGTGAGGAGGGCAGGTGAGCATGGGAACTAGGTTACTTCTCACCTGAATCCCTCGGGTGCAAAGATGGTTCTGTTAAGAAGAGTTTACAATTCTTTTCACAGTCTGCGCTATGACAGCTAAAACAGAAAGACACTGGGTGAAAAAGGAGGAACATGGAAAACAAAGAAAAAAACCCACGTTGTTGGAACTTCTTGGCTTTACCAATATTTTAGCTCTCTCTTGACAGAATGGAAATTAAACCCATTATTAGCTGACACAAAGGGATGAAACATAAGTTAATCACAGGAACATTTAATTTCGGAACTGAAATTGATCTCGAAGACACTGTGTATAGAAATTATTAAAAGCACTCAAGCTCAGGGTGTAAATTCTAGTCCATTCACTGGCTCGGGGGCGACTCCAAGCAACTCGCTTATTTAACCCATAGTTCGGTATCCCCCAGTAAAAACCCGTGACTCGGTCCACCTGTCAGGACTGAGGGTTAACTGAGATAATATGCTTGATGTATAGTTAAGTACAGAAAATGGATAAATAACAGCAGCCACTGATTGTTTTAAGGCTTTCTTTTTTTACTATTTATATTCATTTTTTTGCATAGCACTGGGGTACAGGGGGCCCTCCCTGGTGGCACAATGAGTTAGGACACAGCACAGTAAGCTAGCCATAGCTGCTTCCGTGCAAGTTCGATCCCCCACTCCAGAAGTGACCTGCATGGCTCAGCAGACCTCTCCTGTCTCCCCCGCTGCTCCCCTTAGCAGTGTACTTCGTCAGTCTGCCTGTTCTGCTCCCCACTCTGTCTCTGTTAATCCTCTTACCACCCCTGAAAGGCAGTGAGGGGAACCTGTACCCCCATTCCGTATGCATTGATTAATAAATAAATAAATCTTTAAAAAAAAAGAATTGGGGTAAAGACCAGAGGTGAGGGGGGTGGGAGGGTTCACCAGACACAGAGTGGGGAGCAAAACAGGCGGCTCTACAAAAATACACTGCTGAGGGGAGCAGTGGGCAGGCCAGGAGAGGTCTGCTGTGTCATGTGGGTCAGCTCCCGGCTGGGGATTGAACTCAGGTCATCACAGTAATAGTGCTGAAACTTAACCCCTAGGCCACCAGCAAGGCCCCTGAATTGTTGGGGTGTCTTTTTATCTTTGTCTTACTGATAAGAATCCTATGGGAAGGAGAGACTCAAGAGCATTTTCTAGAGATGCCATTGCTAGTGACAGTACGTGACTTTGAGAAGGGGTCAAACACGCACATGAAAAACTTAGACACATCACTGGGGCAGCCCAAGAATGCTAGAAAAAGCACATCTTCCCACGTTGGGATCTGTCAGCAGAGTGGGAGTGATGAGATGGTGGAGGAGGGGGGGCCACCCTAAACGGAACTTGACAAGGTGAGTTCTCAGCAGGAATCTGAAAGCAGAAGCAGCACTCTGACCACCTCATGAGCTCACAGTGAGAACCACACAGAATGGGTGGGAAGGTTCTTTCACGAGGATAAAATTTAGTGGAAAAAATAGTTTTGTGCCAGACATGGGGTAGTTTTTTCTGTGTATCTTACAACAAGTTGTGGGCATCATTTACTTTTTTTTTTTTTTAAAGATTTATTTATGTATACAGAACTGGGGTGCATGCCAGAGGTGCAGGAGAGGTGAGAGCATTCACCCAAGACAGAGTGGGGAGCAGAACAGGCCAACTGACAAAGCACACTGCTGAGGGGAGCAGCGGGCAGGTCAGGAGCGGTCTGCTGTGCCATGTGGGTCACCTCCAGGGCAGGTGGGGATCAAACCATGCGGAAGTGGCTTTAGCTTCTGGGTGCTGTCTTTTAACTCGCTGCGCCACCAGGGAGCGCCCCATTATCCTTACTTTAAAGAAAAGGAGACAAAGGCCTTGTCCAAGGTCACACAGGCAGTACCCAGCAAGGCTGAGGTGGACACTCAGGTCAGTTCACCTTTAGAAGGCTCAGAGTTTCTCCTCAGCCAGCAAGGAACCCGAAGGAGTGAGGGCCCTGATCAAAGGAACTGGGGAGGAGGTGCCAGTCGGTACCAAACCCCAGATGCCATCAAGCACATTGTTTCCATGCTACACACACCCCCAGCAGCTGGTACATCCAGCTGTTGTAAGATGTAATCTGACTTCAGACATAAAAATGTCCATTCCAGGATCCCTGAGCAACAGCGTTGCCCAGGAATCTGAGTGCCTAAAAGAACTGCAAGTCCTTGGGCGAGATCCCCAAAGACTTCTGGAGATCTGGGAACAACTCTTCCATCGAGCCATGCGGGCTGAGGAAGGCCCAGAAATTTCGGGCCTGTGTGAGCCATGGCCACGGCAGCCAGGACCACAAGCACTGGTCATCCTGGGGTCTGGTCATCCTGGGGTCGGGGTCACCGGGTTCTTCTGGGAAAGTTGGTGTAAGGCGGGACCCTTAAAGAGGAGTCAGAGCATCTGCCCAACTGTCAACCTTGATAAACTGTGGACTTTAGTCAGTGAGCAGACTAATAAACGCTGTGAAAAACAGGACTAGAGCAATCAAGCTACTCAAAATTCCTAGGGAAGGAGAAGCTCCCACAGCAGTCTGTGCTGGTAAAGGCCGATTCTTGAGGGAAGAGCAGAGAGGGCCGGGAGAGTGGAAAGGGACAGGTGCTGTGTCCTGTGTGTCCCGGCAGCTTGAAGCCACCAGGTTCATTAAATGTTTGAGTGTTGAGCCCTCCCTGGTGGCACAGCGGGTTAAAGCACAGCACCAAGTAGCTAAAGCTACTTCAGCACGAGTTCGATCCCCGCCCCAGAGGTGACC